CATAGGCGTATCTATGGTGGCAGCCTAGGGTGCCTGGGTTCCCCCCACAATTTTCGAAAGGTGCCGGTCAACCGAGTTTGAAGTCAGAAGAGTTACAACATTTATTTTTTTTTTTTAAACTTGATTTTTTTTGTGGGTATCGTTATAATTACCATTTACTTACAAAGATTGATTTCCTGACTTCCGAAATCGGAAAAACCTGCTATAAAGACTTGAGACAGACGACGACGGCACAATACGAATCTAGGTATTATCGATATTATTGTTGTATTATTTTAGATTTGTAGTTAGGTGGTGTAATCCAAGACTGTAGATGAATAATATCTGAAGTTACTGTAGATTTATATTGTAAACAGATAATTAAGACTTTTTCTTAAATTTTATAAATATTACATATAACTAGTGTTTGAAGTATGAAATATTTCACTACATGGTGAAATATTTCACAAAAACGTGAAACATTGAAATTTTTTTTAATACAAATATTAATGATGGTTATTTATCAATCATTAATTATATAGTCCAAGAGTTCTAGGTATAATCATTGACATTAAGGGGATTCGATACCGTGATTTTCTGTTTTTGTCTAACACACGCGTGACATAGTATTTTAGACGTGTTTTTTGCCAAACATTCTAATTGATCTATTGAAGTGATAAGATTTCTGAAAACAGATTTGAATTTGTCGTCAAGTACGGCACAGTACTCATTTAGGTATTATTGATATTATTGTTGTATTATTTTTGATTTGTAGCTAAGTGGTGTAATCCAAATCTGTAGATGAATAATATTTCTGAAGTTACTGTAGATTATTATTGTAAATAGATAATTTTTACTTTTTTTTTAAATAAAATAAATATTTCATTGTGGAGGGGGGCTTAAAAAAATACGGCTTTGGGTGTATAGGGCTTTTTTCAGTTCACTAATAGAGTAGCGCCAGTTATTATGTAGGCTGCCCCTGTCGATGAAGTTTAGTCACGCCTATGATAATGATGTATGATTAGCGATTCGAGAGTAGCCCAGATAGCATTCTTGTAATGATAATATTATATTAATCCAATTAATTCGTTATAATAATAATATTGAAAAAAAAATATCAATTTGGTATCAAATAATCATTTTTCAAATAATGTTTTTAAATAAATGTTTTTTTTTTTTTAAATAATGATTACACAAAATAATATTTTATTTATATCATTAATATGAAATCAAAACTCAAATAATAAAATTTAATTTTAATTGTATTGTCATTATGTTAATAAAACCAAAATAATACTATTACATGACAAATATATAATTAATATGAAGTGTAATCTGAAACAAAAATATAATGTCATATGTTTATTATCAATATGTAATCGAAACTAAAATAATTTTATAAAATTAATTATAATTATAATATTAAATACATTAATAAATAATAATTATATTATAACAATATAATTATATATATATGTGTATATATATATTATAGTATCACTACTATAAGTGTGTTTTAATATTTTAATATTTAATATTATAATACTTTTATACTATTATAGTAGGTACCAGGATTTTTTTTGCTTAATTTAATTTATATTCCAAAACTAACCAAATATTCTAAAAATATCCAAAAATCTATGGATTATGTCCAATCACAGTGACTACCAAATTAGCAGTCATGTCCGTCAACGTGTTAATCAAACATTTTTACTTCTTCTTTCCAAATCCCTAAATGTGATTGTATATATGGTTATTAATTATTATAGTTATTACATATTACTCATCATAATTCAGTGGCGGTTTTGGGGGTGAGACAAGTGAGGCACCACCTCACTTATAATTTTTACGAAAATAAAAAATATTTGGTTATTTATATTGGTATTTTGTACTATTTTTAAATTTAAAATTTTAATCGTATAATTATTAATTTTTAATTTTAATTAATTAATTTATATTTATTTATTTTAGATATATATTTATATATATATATATATATGTTACGATCAAAAGCCGAAATCGGGCAAACCTCAGAAATGCCCGGACAAAACGCGAACGGGCAATATATATAACAACAATATTGAATATTATTTTTTTAATTTTTTTGTACAGAACTTGTGTGAACGCAAGAATGGCTGCGCAGTGCGCGTCGCTGCAACGTAACTTACGAGCTATTATAATATTAATAGTTTCCATTTAATATAATATTGCGTCCGGCCCGGCACGGCGCCGCCGCCACCGCCACCGCTAAAGCGCTAAGATCGACAGAGGCGAGAGGCGGTAGCCGCCGTCGCCTAAGTTAGTGCATGCGAGTGCGTCTACGCCTTAGATCATATACAATGGATGGAGTCATAGCATACTACGCGTATAAAATGAGTTGATGCCAACATTACTGTAGAACCTGTGACATCTGCGCATGCGTGACTGCTTTTCATAATACATCAATCTGTTTATCTTAACTGCGCGTCTGCAGTGCGACTCTGCACTCTGCGTCTCTGTGCCAAACATTAATGATAAGAGACCACGCGCATGCGCATATCACCGAGGTCCTACAATGATGTTGGCTTCACAAATAGTTCGTATGGCTCTATCCATTGTATATGATCTAAGGTCTACGCACACACATATAAGCTCGTAAAATAGTGTAAATGCGCATGCGCAGACTGCCGCCTGATACGACTAAAATCAACCGACAACCGCGCGCACAACGATATTATAAACATTGGCCGCCGCCGCAGGGACCGCCGGTACATTAATTGTATGCAGCCGCTTTACTTGGTAGGTGGGGGGCTGCGCTTGCCAGACGGCCGTTGTTCATTAAATACGGAAAAATTATATTATTAGTATTACGTAATATTATTTTATAAGAATATAAAAATATAATAATAATATTGAATTATTAACCAAATATCTGGTTTTCCCAAATTTTGTCGTAGTTAATCAGTCGTAAACAAATTGATAACTGATAAGTGAAACTTGATCATTTCAAGAATTGGCTCCCTGTAACCACTAATAAACCAGTAAAGTTGTATAAAGTGTAGGTATACTGTGTACCGGGTATACGTTACCCACAATCCGAAACGCGCATGTTCGGCACTACGATGACGTCGTACGTCTATATAGTGTATTAGCACATTTTATATAATCTGTGGTATTAGTGTCTACTGTCTACATTTGTCTACACTGTTTACGTTTAGTACATTTTATTAACCGTCAAGAGTCAAGACGAACACGTGACAACTGCCTATAATATAGTCACGTCGAATCACGACTAATGCAGTATATATTATACCATTATAAAATAGATTTTGGGTCCGTCTGCCGTCAGTTGTAACTTGTAAGTATACTACCTATCTATTTATAATGTAAATAATAAGTATTTTTAAGAACAACATTAGTATTAGGTAAATCATATTATGAATATTACCTATATAATACATAATATATTACCTACTATTATATTATGATTTATGAAGGAATATTATACCTAAATCATTGTATGATTTTATATCTCAATATCTTCGGGATTCTTCTGGTTGCATAAACAATCACTAAACATTTAACAAACCAATAGTTTGCTAATTATTAAATTATCAATCAAATTTTAGTTTCAATTTTATTTATTATAATAATATGAATTAATTAAGTATCTAAGTGGTTAAGTCTAAAAAGTAAAGCTTTTGGAAAATACAAAAAAAAAACTACCTACCAGCAATATTTATATCAAAACTTGCGGCTTGAAAATTACCTATCATAAGAGTTTAGGACTTTATAGGTACTACTTACTTTTACTATAGATAGATGCTATTAATATTATACATTTATTATTAGGTAATAAATAACTTATAAAAAACTTAACTTACTTAATTATATAAATTAAAAACATGTAGGTAGGTAGGTACGTTTTAATTGACTGGTTATAATATGTAAGTACTCATTGTTACTTATATAGTTATATGTATAGGGTCAACTGATGTACCTACATAATATACCTTATCATTTTAAAGACATCATTTTATATGAATTGTCATTATGTTTTATTTTCATTTGCCCCATTGATTTAATGGAGAATAGATTGTGTTGTTTACATTTGCCCTAATTCTCCTATATATTTTAGGGCAAATGTAAAAACTCACATAATAACCATTTGAAAAAATAATTAATATTTACTGATGATTCATTTACTCTTCCCCAGACTTTTTTCTATTCTAATGAATTGTACCAGAGATATGATATTCATTTCTATTTGCTCCAAATTTTTTAATTTTTTTAGTGTAAAGAGGTAAATGTAAATTTAAAATTGTGAACTAGATGATGTTTTTATACTAAATATGATCCAAAAATATTGTTCCTTGAACATTTTTACATATAATTACATTGAAATATATAATATGTAGAATACATATTATATAAGGGTGAGTGTTTATATTAAAATAAACCTTGTCAAAACCATTTACATTTACCCCGGTTTACACTACATAGATTACAAATTATATATCTCCTATTTAAATAAAAAATAATATTTGTTTATAAGTTTTTAATATTTTTTTAGTCTTACTTAAAACATTTTAGTTAAATTAATTGGAAAGAAAAATATATTGGTATACCTAGCTATAAAATCATATACAGTGGATTTGGTTGATTATCTCTACCATATATCTAATTATGTTACCTAGGTACTATTCAATAAATTTTTATTATTTTTTTTTTTACTTAAAATGTTCTAAAAAAAATAAATTATATTTGAGCAATTACTTATATTTGTGTGGGTATTTTTATATCTATTTTTAGTAACTATGAGTTTTAATAAGGAATCAAATTTGAGTGCTCGGTCTAAACGAAGACGTATTCAAGAAGAATTACAAAATAGTAGGAATAATTATGCACATTCTTTTAATGAGTCGCAGACACTAATTAATGATGAACACTCTCAATCCAACGTTGATATTTGTTTTAATACATCAGTATCTCAACCAGCATTTAATGAAATAATAAATGAATCTT